AATTCGACAATTTTCTAATTTTTTTTAAAAAACTGTAATTATTATTAATTGTAATAATATGATTATTGACAATGACGCGGCTATGTGCACATTAAAACACCTTAATCCATATCTTACAAGACCAGCTTTTCTTTTACATTATATACAGTAGCTAAATATTGTATTAATTTCACTTTGCAATATAATAAAACTATTTATATATTTATATATTTATATATGCACGTATGTATTCTGAGTCGTTGTAGGCACCCGCATATAAATTTTATCCGATGCGGCCGCGTACAACGAATTATAAGAAACTCATCATTATCGGTTTTTTTTTCCTTGCTATGTTTAGCGTAAGTAAGAAACGATTCCGCTTGGCTCTTCTTCTTTTCTCTGTACAATATATAATAGGCTCCGCTAAGGCTCCGCTTATCGCCGACGAAATTATTTTATTCCGGCTTCCAGGGCGTGAAACGCGTTATTTCTCCTCTCAGAATTCAGGATTCTAATTTAATATTAACATCTCGACCCTAGAATCAGTTAGCTCGATAATATTTATATATGATTAAAATGGCAATGAAACTTTTTCTAATCGCTCAAGTAGTATTAATAAATTTATTAAAACTGCGTTCCTCGTTTTACTGATTCGTCTGCTGACCTTTCATACTTCACATAAAAATTAATCGCATACATAACAATTGTATGCACACCGAATATTCTCTCTGTCTGAATTACAGAATGATCTAAATAATATTTGGATACAAATTATAAAATAAAATTATCGCATTACATTGCTTATGATAATCGAAGAGATTCTTGAGCTGAAACTCAGATAATATTTCCGTAACACAAAGTTCATTGGTAGTTGAATTTTTCAGTTATTGCACTGTCATTGTCTAATCTTTGATTCTCATTTATAATCACGTAGACCAAAACCTCTTGGTACGTAGATCAACATAAAAAGTTACCAGCTGTTATTCGGAATTAATATAGTTAAAACTAAAAAAAAATCTAAAACAATATAAAACATTTCGCGTCCGCACGATATCATAGATTACATTTTCAGTTTAACGAAGATAATTCAATTAAATCAAATCGTTCTTAAAGCCGATAAATAGTAACAAGATTTAAAAGTGACCGGATAGTCACAAATTATTTGAGAACGTTCAAACGGTTTCCCTTCATCTTTGCTTTGTTTTACCTTAGTTGTACAAATTCGTATAAAAGGTCGTACAAAATTCTCATAGAGTAGTACAACGTCCTACGAATACAGAGTGCTATGGTTCTTAACTTTACCAATCGTTTGAAAGAAACACTTCGTTTAGAAAAAGTGAGAACTATCGTGTTGTTAGCTCAGGAACCTCTTAGGCATCCGACACAGTACCGCGAAGAGGATAATTTGTACAACAAATAATACACGTTACAACGTAAACGAATGACAATTCATATCATACAATAGTAAATTTGATACAAATTATTTTCTCAGTTATCAAAATTCGTATATCCCAAATCACATTTCCTTTTTCTTTTTACGCATCGAGTATATTTATGAACTAAACTGATAGATCATACACAAGGAGAACCGCACAAAATCGTACATCATTCTAAAAAGGTTTACTAAATGACACGTAAATTTAATGTTAAGAGAATGTCTGACCTAAAACAATTCTCTTGACATTCCTTTTGTACATGATTTAGTAAACTAATCCCTCGTACAGCTATTCGACTTAATTGAATAGACAACTTTATGCGGCGTCTCACTGTGCATTTAATTTTATGCAAAAAATCAAACGTTCGTCTCGTCTGCGTAATATCGAGGTTTACGGAATTTTCTAACTGGAACAACGCACTGGAAAATGTACCATTTTCACCGGATTTTTGATTTCGAAAAATCGCTACAAATTTATCCGCTTGAAATGTATTCTAAGTACATAAGTGTGGATGTAAGGTGCTTTAACTGACTGAATCTAGGGTCAAAGTACATCGGTCCGCGCAGAGAAATTCCGTATCCCGGATTCCGAGTGAAGAAGTTACGTTTATTTCTGTTACGCAGCGAATAAGGAAGCAGAAGTCGCGTTTCCCTCGTAGGGAACAAATAGATCCTTCCTCGGTCACTGGCGGAGGTCCAGTACAAACATTTTCTTTAACGCACAACACATCCGGAATATCGATATGGACGATTACTTTTGACTGTTACTCATATAGCCCTTTTTATGCATTGTCTAATCGCGCAGTTGTCCTTCAGTGAAAATTCGTGTTCCCATAAGTCGATGAGGAATGAGATTACTAGGTGTCGAAGTAAAAACGTAAAAACCACAAAGGGGAGGACGAGAGCGAAGTAGATTAGTGTATTATAAACTATGCTACCGTATAAAAAAAAACGTATTTCAATTCTAGATAGAACTTATTTACACTAAGTAAAGAATAAATTATTAAAATTGTACTCGGTGTAAAATATACTTTAAATATATTATATATATATATAATATAATATAAAATGAATCGTGAGAACAATGAAAAATGCCAGTCGATAGTTCTTACGGATTTGCTTGGATTAAAAAGAAAAACGGTGTCATTATTAGATGTATTCGACGCGACATTTCTAATAATTGGTGTTCTGTGTGTTAAGGACAACTGCACAATTATGGACGATTCAGATTATTGCGACAGACTATATGACTAATTAATCTAACTGATCGAAGAACCTGCTGCTGCTGAGCAGTAAGATTGTCCTCGACTATAACTCGATAAATTACATTTTTTTTCGGATTTCTCCGCCCGAACGTCTACTACTTCGTTTACTTGTATTTTTTTCTGTTTTATTTCTTTTTTTTATTTTGTAATACTATTTTCTACGATAATGTCAACCGACGGCCTCGTTTCAGAGGGATGGGGGAACACTCGAACAGAGATTATAAAGGGATACCGAACGTTTCTGCGCGGCCCAGGATTAATTTGCCTGGAAGATCGGACCGCGTGGTAAAACACAGCCATCACGTAAGCTTCGCACTGAATACAAAATCTCTCACGCGTTCATTCTTCATCTTTCAGACACACACGCACCGCACGCGTATACTCTCTCGCTTTCATACATACATACACGCACGCACGCATCTCCTTACTCCTCGACTTAAACTAGATACAATCGTAAATTACAAGTATGTACAATTAACTAGTTCTTACTGCGAAGGTGATGACGAGGCCGTGTACGAAATAATCTCAAAAATCCTCCCATCTTTTCTGATTGCTTCCTCTTTTTCGTTCCTGTTCTCTTGCTTTTCCACGACGTTTAGTTATGCGTTTACGCGCACGCAGTTCCTTTCAATATTTCTAAATCAGGCGAGACGATTGATTTTTCCAAAACGTCGTCGAATTTCACGGTAAGAGTCGTGAGATGTTCGTACACGGCCTCGACCGTTCCTCTCGATCTGTTCTCTTTTTTTTTTTACGAGGAAAAACATGGATATCTCATCGCCGCCGCGAAATGGCACGCCCTTTCCCGTTTCTCGAGTATTTGCGTTTAAGAATAAAACTGGATTATTTCGTTTCTCGAGGAGCACACTTAGATCCCTTCTCGCTTAACGCCGGAGAACGTCCGTTGAAGAATGTCCGAAACGAGCATATCTTTTAGGAGTTGCGACCACCCTGTTCCTCGCGTCGAAACGACCGTTTTTGTTTCGTGTTTCTGTTGCCGTGAGAAGGTGCAGTTTATAAAGAAAATGGTTAATAATTGAAACAAGGATTAATCATTGTATATGTAAAATAATCACCACAAGAATAAGAAAATAAAAATTAAAAAAAAAAAGAGACCAATGTACTGTAAATATTGTCATGAGAACGAAGTGGAAATATATTTCTTACGTACAATTTTGTAAATTTTTACACGAAATAGTAAAAATGTCGTTTATCGAAAGGCGTTATCGTATGGCTATATCACAGGCTTAGTGGGAACTGTGAAAAAACGTTCGTACGTCCGGTATTTACCAACCGTGAATATTCTTATTCAGTATTAACTTCCTATTGATAATCTCGAACCTACACGGAAATATCTGCAAAACAAAAATGTTTAATCAAAAATGATTTGATTATTAATCTCGTTCTATTGTTATAAAGTAACACTTAATTTAGTAATGTTTGGCCTGATTTAATGCATCTACCGATAGAGTTAAGTTATCCATCCGTATTCCCCTCAGATTCCCACTAAGCCAACGATACACTGCAACAAATATGGTAGAATGATTTTGCTTGTATAAGAATATGCGGTACCTCGATCATTTTGGACCGTGTCTCGCCGGAACGGTTTCTTCACCTTATCACAGCAACGTGAAATCACAGTTAGCAACTGCAAGCGTGTATCGAGTCCATTTTCTCGACCGACCGTAAATATCGTACGAGCACCGTGTTTATTCGTGTGTTTGCGTCCTCTGCTCCATTTACTCCACGAGTATCATTAATTATCACCTAACTTGACATCCCTGTGGTATACTTGTCGCTGCAGGACACGCGGCGGAGTCCCTCTGCACAGAACTATTGTTCTCCTCTTCGTCGTCCTCCTCCTCCTCCCTGGAGGACTCTTCCTCTTGACTTTTTACCGGTGGATTTCTCGTTTCCTCGTGCGATACTTCGGGACTTGGCGGTTTCTCCGTCGTTAAACTAGACTCCTCGCCGTGGACCGGTGAGCCTTTCAGCTCGTAGCCCTCCTGGCAACGCGTCAATTTTAATCTAATCGGCGTAACCTTGGCCGAACGAACGTTCCTCGGCGCGGTACCGCCGCTGTCCGGGTCGGTAGGTTGTTTCTCTTCGATATTAGCGGTTACCGTTGGATAGGCAGGCTCGTCCTTGGCCGGTTCCGGAGGTGGAGGACCTACCCTGCTGTCAGCAGGATTTCGTTCCTCTTCCTCCTCCTCTTCCTCGTCTGTGACCAAGATCGGTAATTCATCCGGAGAGTCGTTGCCCTTGCCCAGCCTGATGATCAATTTCGGTGGGGCAGTACCACCCTCGAGGATTCGTACTCTGGCTTCCTTCCTACTCGACTGCCGTTTCTTCCGCTTTCCGTTCTTATCCTTTTTACTCTTAACTCTCAATTTTTCATCGTTATCGAAACCGGCCATGATCATACGCCTGAACTTCATACTCTCCCTTTTCAGTTCTTCGATGCTCGGTGTACTGCTAGGAATACTGCTCAACCGTTTCTTTGGCGGTCTTATTCTCGTCCTGTCGTCTTGGCCGCTCTCCGGGCCACCAATTATGCTATTGCCAATCTTGATCTTCAGCTTCGGTGGGCCACTGTTCGTGGTTGTCGTCGTGGTGGTAGTGTTCGTCGATTTACCACCGCCGCTCTGCCTTCCTCTTTTACGGTCCACGTTCCCGACCGGAGTGTTGCCACTGGAACTAGCACCGTTGGTAGCGCTGCCCCGCCTCCTGTCGTCTTCGTTACCGTCCAAAAACCCGGCTGGTCTCTCTTTCCGTCTTTTCTTCTCCGTGTTCGCATCGACCACCGCTTTGTAATCTTCCCTGGTAGGTATACTAGTCATCGAAGCCACTGCTTTCGGTATCGTGATCACTGTCCGATTAATCGGTGGCATGATAATCGGCGCCGACGTAGTAAGGTTGCCACCCGGTTCGTCCATGTTCATATCCTGAGAACAGTACTGTCTCAACAACTCCTTCTTTCGCATTCGTCTAAGGTTCGAGGTTCCAGAAGCGACGGAAGCACTGGTAGCAGCTGGTGCGATTATTACAGGTGCCTGTTGAGCAAGTGGTGGTACCGGAGCCGGAACGTAATTCGCGTCCAGGAAAGGACCTTTAATTTTAACTTTCAACTGATTCCTAGAGTCTGTCAATGAGACTTTGTTCGCCTCCGTGAAACCAGAAGACGATGCATCGATGCTCGCGTCGAAGCTCGGCTTCGAACAGTCTTCTTGACTCTGCTTGCCTATCAACGCGGACCTCAGTTCTTTCTCGAGGTCTTCTTCGATGTCCGGAAGAGCAGGATCGTTCGTAGAGACACCGGTGAACGTGCCTAGGAAATGGTTTTCGTACGTCTGACCGTGCAACGTGGAAGAGCTGGACGCGTCGAGGGTGGAGTTGTACGTTCGCATGTCGACGGGACCGGGAATAAGCGGTAGGACGGTGTCGAAGCTCTGTCCGGCGTTCGACTGTCTTTCTACGACAGTTGAATCGTCGTGGCTCGGAGAACCGGAGTGCCTCCTGTCTTCTAAATACTTCCTAGCGCCTGCTGGACTGGATAGTCTCGACTGAACACTCTCCCCGGAAGCAATGACCGTGGAGTCTCTCCTCTCGACACCGGCAGCATCCGTCGATTTCTTCCGCTCTCTCATAGTGCGAAGGTCGGCGATGTTAGTCTCGTTGGTGGAATCTTCATCAGAATCGAAATCGTACACCGTGCCTATTAACTTATTCTGAATCGAGTCGTCGTGTTGATGAATGACGCCAACACCGGGAACCAACGGAATGCCTGCGTTTTGCCCGCTTCGACCTCGACCTCTGCCCCGTCCGCGTCCGCGTCCTCTGTAACCGGACTGCGCCGAATTCTTGCCACCCCTGCCGCGTCCCCGAGCTCCGGACACGCCCTTCTGAGCCTCCTGTCTCGGTGATTTCCCGGGAGATTTCCCTTGCAGCGACGTTACTCGCGCAGAGGTTCTCGTAGGCTTAGACGGCGACTTTTTCCCAGAATGTTGGCTCTTGCCGTCCGTAAGAGTTTCTTGAAGATTCTCAACGACAGGATCGCTCGCGTGACTCTCCGGTGCCGTGTTTAAGAAATTCACTGGCAACGAAGGCGAATTGACTACCTGCGTTTGCAATTGCTGTTGCGTCCTCTCGATCGTTTCTGGCGGTGCGGTGACTTGCGGGGGTGGCGGAGGCGGCGGCGGCGGCGGTGGCGTGCCTATTTTCGTAGGGGAGACCATAGCCGCGGTCAGAGCCATGTTGTGCGAGGAAGACGTGAACGCTGCGGTACATGGCGAAGCTTGTAGATTCAACGAATCTTCTAGCGGTTTTACGTGCGGCAATAATGACTGCGCTCCTGGAAAGGCTGCTCCGAATTGCGGTGGGAAGAGAGCCGGCCCAGGCGAAGGATAAGGTAACGGTGCCGCGCAAGATTGTGGAGGAAATAAACTGACTGGTCCGGTGCCATAACTCGAATCCGCGTAGTACGTTGCCTCCATGGAGCATGGGGGAAATGGAATGCCAGCTACATTCTTGTACGGTGGAATGGAATGGTCTTCGGCGGAGGAAGCAGAAGTGATCGAAGAAGATGTAGACCGACGAGAAGGCAGGACTTGACTTTCCGCCCATCTCGTGTCCGGGCGTCCGTTCAAGTCGTTGTAAGGAGAATTCTGATCGTAGTCTTGCTGTCTGACGACGTCGTCCTCTTTGTCGAGCACTCTGTCCATTATCTCGGCTGCCTGATCATCCTCCGACGATGGCAATCCAATTAAATGTCTGTTGACCATTTCCATGGGGTTCTCTTCGGGCATTTGTTGATCGAGCATCGTTCTCTCGTGAGGTTCCTGCTGTCCGTGAAGAATCGAATGCGGTTGCTGCAATAAATATTGTTCCTGTATACTTGGAGCGTTTAAATGAGTACGCGCGATAGATTCGTTTTCTGGAATAGATTCGTTAGGGAATTGATGATTGCCGTATCGATGATTCTGCGTTTCTATCAAAGCGTTCAAGTGTTGCACATTACTAGGTTCGAAACTATTAATACTCGGTGGGACCCATCTCTCGTCAGTCTCTGCTCGATCGAGCTTTGATCGTTCCACCACGCTGACTTTGTTTGCTTCACGATCCTCCTCGTAGACCGTGTACCTATCGTTTTCGTTCGAGTAACAAGTTTTCCTCTTCTCTTCGACTGTGCTTTTACAGCTACTGGGACGGGCTTCGTTATTAGCTACCTCTTCTTCAGGAATCTCTACGCTCTTTACGCTCAACACCGGTTCTACGGTAGGTTCAATAATTTTCGTCTCTTTCTCTGGCTGTTGAACGAGTTGCTGTTGGATCTGTTGCTGCGATTGTTGCGGTTGAAGTTGTTGCGACTGTGACTGCTGTTCGTGTTGCTGTTGCTGCTCGATCGTCTTTTCTATCGATGGTTCCTCCTTTTTAATTTCACCATCTACAGGTACTGTCTCTAATTCGAACTGACTAGAATTTGATTTTTTCGAGAGTTCCATACGCAATTTCTCAACGAGATGCAACGTTTCTCTAGCGCTATCTTCTTTAGAATCTTCCTTGAACCACAACTCGTTGTTGAACGAGAAACTTAGCGGAACCCCTCGCTCCTCCGCGTCCCTTGATATACCGAATCCATCCTCGTTCGCTATCTCTTCCGTTAACATATCTTGATCGAAATCAAACAATTCTGAGACGCTTGGATCTTTACCATGTTGCGGTGAGAAGATCGACCTGTTCGCAGACTTTCGCCGTTTCTGATGCTCCTTCTCGAAATTCTCGACTCTCTCCAAACCAATTGATTTCACATTATCGTCTTCGCTGTCTTTTCGAATGTTCTCCTCTATGCAAGCAGTTTGCGGCTCGATACTCTGTGCACCAACAATTTGTGGCTCGATGGTATTATCTAGAATCTTTCCGACATTCCTTTCTGTCTTTTTTCTTTCAACTATCAGTAAAGCCTGCGGTACTTCGGCAACGTCCTTCTTCATCGATTCTTCTTCCATTTGTTCCTCTGGCTTCGGTTTTTCAATAGCAACGTCGCTCTCGTTAATATGATTCTTACGATCCTCGTTCTTCACCGCCTCCTTTATCAGCTGTCTACTGTCGTCTACAGATGCTTTCTCTTCCTTCTCTTCGTTGCAAACAACTTTCTCGGTCTTCACCTCCAAGTTTTTACTTCTAGACATCTTATCGTGGTGTTCACGTTTTTCCAACAATTTATCCAAACCTCTCACAGACTTCTTTGGGCTGTCTCTCTCCGCTCTACGCTGTTTCATCTCTTCTTCTAACGTATTGATCACGTCCCTGTTTCCGACCTTTTTGATTTTCTTATCCTCACTCTTCGGAGAGTTTTCTGTCAATACGTTTACTTTTTCTTCGTCAACAGTCTTTTGTTCCTCCTTTTTATCCTCCTCCTCGTCTTTCTTCTCTGGTTCTTTAACGGGCTGCTTGTCGTTCAACCGTTTCTCCGATTTCTTAACCGCCTCCTTCCCACTCTTCTCATCCTTCGCGACTGACTCGTTCGGTTTTCGCTTCCTACTTTCGGATTTAGCCTTCTTATCTTCTTTTCGGGATAAAGGCTGCTGTTTACCAGTTTGACCCGACTTTTTGGCAGGCCTGGACCCAGAAACACTTCTCGGCCCATCATGATCTCCAGACCCAACGAGCAGATCCTCATCAACCTCTGCTCCCTCTGCGGCTGTTGATTGCTTTTTATTGCTGTCTCTTTGATCCTGCTTCTTGACTGTTGCTTCCGGTTGCTGTGACTGCTGCTGTTCCTGCTGCTGCTGCTGATCTTTGGAGACTCTACGAGGTTCCTCTCTCTCAGTAGGCGGCTGAAACTCAGGTCCCCGCCGCCCGTCGGAAGTTTTAAGCTTCTTCTCGGGCAGCTTCTTGAGTTTCCGCCCTGAGACCGGTTTCCTCTCAGCTTCCTGTCTTTCCGGTGACATTTTATTCGACTGCTGCTTTCTGTTCGCCGCTGATGGACCCACCGTGATCGTCTTACTCTTCGTTCTATTGACCGTGTCGCTCTCGGAGGAAGAGGTCGACGAAGAAACATTGATCATCTCGTGCGAGAATTTTCTACGCTCTACGTTCTCAGAATCGCTGCTACTTTCAGATGAGCTACTACAGCTGTTACTACTGCTACTAGTGTCACTGTTACTAGAAAACATTGACTTCCGTTCGCTCGGTTTCTTAGGTCTTCTCAAGCGGCTGTCTTTCAAAAGGATCTCCTCTTTTCTAGAAGACGATTCCTCTTTCTTCGAAACGAGTTCTTCTTTCCTGGATAGATGTTCTTCTTTTCTAGAGGACGAAGAGGATGACGATGAAGAAGATGACGATGACGACGAGGATGAAGAGGAGGATGAAGACGACGACGAAGAGGAGGACAGTTCTTCTTTCCGCGATAATTCCTCTTTTCTGGAAGAATCATCCTTCCTGACTTCCTTTCTTTTCCCGATCTCCGGCGATTCCTTTTTCGTTCGCGCGTCCAACGCTTCTTGCTCGATCTGCTGCGTAGTTTTGGTACCCATGCCGCTTTTTATATGCTCCGCTGCTTTCTTCGCAGCTTGCCTCTGCGGCACGTATGCCAGAATCTCTGTTCCATCCCCGAAATCTTTATCGAAATCGTACACGTCGTTATTTTTCGTTTCTTTCGACTGTTTATTCTCTCTCTGCTTCTTACTAGGACTCTTCTCTTTTGATTGCTTCGAAGAGGAACACTTTGGTAGTTCCTCGGTTGGCGATTTTACTACTTCTGGCGTAGAATCAGGAACTGCGTTATCTTTCTTGCCCTGCTGCGTACGCTGCATGATCTCCGAAGCCTTCTTCGCGGCTTGTCTCTGCGGAACGATCAGAGCCGAAGGTATGTATTCTTTCTTTTTAACGGTAGGCTTGCTTTGATTCTCTTTGTTCTTCGATCCTGTGTTATGATACACCGACTCGGCGTGTCTCGATTCTTTGGCGAAACTCTTCTGCGAATTTTTCGATAGATTCGCAGCGGAGAACTCCTTCACGGCTGCTTTCGTGATTAACACCGCGGAATGAGACGCGTGCTCTTGGGAATCGGAGTCTGTGTCCGAATAAATGGCCGAGGCTGCGAGATGTTTCGTCGCACCACCGCTCAATGTCAACAGTTCGTCACTTTCACTACCACTCGCACTTCCCAGCTCCTTCTCCATATGTTCTAGCGTATGCGATCTACTGTTCACAAGTTTGTCACTTTCACTGTTATCCCTAAGCGCCGAGTGCAACTTGTCCGCCGACTGGCCAGTCTTCTTAGTCTTTCTCTGAGGCAGCTTAGTTTTCGTAGAGGGAACGCTGGTTTCCTCCTCCGTGCTCGAGTCGCTGTCCAGCTTCTGGCTCTTGGACTTCTGAGATGTTTTCGCCTTCGTCGCGTCCGTCTCGCTACTACTGACAGACGACAGGTCACTGCCGTAGAGATTCTTTCTTCGCACGGAGCCGTTGAAGTATAATTTTTTACTAGAGGCACCATTGAAGTCCTGTTGCTGCTGCTGCTGCTGTTGCTGCGGCTGATGTTGCTGAGTCTTTTTCTCGTCACTGGTCGGTGAGTCTATGCCAGCGATCCTGGCGACGATCGTATCGAAGTCGTGAGTGTGATCCTCCGACTCGGGATGGGAATACAATCGATCGTAGATCGAAGGCCCATGATTGGCTTCGAGCACAGCGGCGGCTGCTGCCGGTGGCAACGGCGGTCCCGACATCACCAAAGCTTGCTTATGGAAGGTTTGCTCTCGTAATCTCAAGAAAGATCGACAAAGCTTCTCCCTCCTGCCGACCATGTAGCACAGGTTCCGGACCCTCTCTAAGTCCTGGCGTAATTGCACGAACGTCCTCATCTTCTCAAGATCCGCGGCCTGCCCTTGATTGCGCGAACCACTGCCGGAAAGTTCTCCGCAACGCGGTGCCAACAACGGTTTATTATGTCCAGCCTGTAAATTGGAACGAGAATACAAAGTAGAATGCGTTATATTTTAGACAGGGAATGAAAATGGGAAATTACGCTTACTCTTCTTTTCAGTTTCCAATAGTTGTATATGTAAACAATGCTATCGGGATCGACGTCCAACTGCTGCGAAGCGATATCCTTTAAACTCACGTGTTTGTCGAATTCCGCTTCGATCTCTTGCAGTCTGATGGAAAAACGTTTCGGTCATAACATGTAATAGGGACAGGATAGGATCCTGCCAGGAATTTAAGGGATAAACGTACTTCGCAGCGCGTGCTTGATTCTTCTCCTCGGATGTCATATCTTTTCTCTTGCGCCGTCTAGATTCCGCGTCCTCGGAATCCGATCCTGCTTTGTCAGCACCGCTTCCTATACTACCTCCAGGACCTTGGACTTTATCTTTCGTATTCGTCCTACTATGTTTCTGACAGTAAGACTGTAAATAAGACGATTTGAAAAAACTGTCGATAGAATCAAGTCGAATCGTGTCGTTGAAACAATATTTTGGATAATCTACCCTCAATTTTACTCCATCGTCAGCCATTTCATCTTCGATGATTGCCTTCATCTCTAAGCCGTATTTGAAGGCACACGTTACATGATAAGCTGTTTTACATGTCTTTATACTGCACTGGATGCAAGCACCGACCCTTTCCCGACACAGTACGCATATTAAAGCCCATCGACTTTGCTAAAATTATATAACGTTCGAAATTTAAATAGTAATTCGCAAACGATCATTGTACGCCTCGTATGGAGATATTGTATGTACCGGAATGCTGGATATTTTCGTGATAGGCTCCATTCGTTCGACGCAGCCAATACTGACTTCTGGGATCCATAGAGCACAAGATACGTGGGCCCACTTTTGGCCGCTACGAGTGCATTTCATAGCACCTCCTTTGTTAGGACAAAGAACACAATCCGGTCGTTGACTTAGAGAACAAGTTCTGCATAGCCAGGAACCGTCTGGTATTGAAGTAATCCCGTAACACGCTTGATGCACGCATATATTACAACAATCACAGAACACCATCTCATTTCCTTCCTCGGAGTCCGGCTAACGAAACAAATGTATCGATTAACGCTCGTCGTATTTCAATCTGACCGTCGAAAATGGAACGAGACTTACAGATCTGCAAACATCGCAGATCACGTTTTCATCGTATTCAATGCCAAGACCTTCTTCATTTTTTACGATAGTCTGTATTCTTTCCCAACAACGAACTTCGAGCTCTTCTATCACCCTTTCTAACTGCGACTCTGTGATGGGCAATTGACCAGCCTAAAATTGCAACGCAGCACAAGTATAAACCTCCGAATCAATGTTTAATCGAGACGTCGTTCGGATTATTAGAAAATCGTCTTACAATTGTTCGGCGAGATTCGTTTTAAATACAAGTTTAGATAGAGACGATGGAATTCTGAAATATATGATATACCTGTGCACGTTCGCCATTTAACACATCTAACCACGCAATATCGGTGTCGTCAAGATCGTAAGCACAAGCTTTCTCTGCTCGTGCCGGTGTTGTGCTTAAATGGTGATCTTCGGGGTTGAAATAATCATCGCGAGATATTCTTACAAACTTTTTCGGTCTACAAGAACATGGTGAGAAACAAAAATAATTTCTCAATCGGACGGTGTCGATTGGTTCCTCGACTCGACTGGAACACGTCGTACTTACAGTTTAAATTCACTGTGCTGCTTTATGGGTGTTGCTTGAGTGATAGTGACCGTCGGTTCAGGAAGAGAGTCTGGATTAACGGGTACTTGAACGCCTCTCTCCCATTCTTGTTTCCATTGATCAGTAATGACCCAATATTCATTGGGACTTAATGGCTCACTATCAGGTAATTTCATCGCGCTGATCAAATCCTTACGAAACAGTTCTGCGGGAGCCTCAGCAGAGGAGCGATTATATATACTAGAGATCTTGATGTCGCTGAGGGGTCTGGGGGTCCAGGATGCCCCTCCTTGACTGGACGACGCCATCGTCTCCTCCTCTTCTGAGGGCCCCATGGTAGCTGCCAGCGACGACGAACACGTCGCTGGACCCAGCCTACATTTGCGCCTTTTGATTGCGCCTGGGCAAGACGCCAAATCATTGTCGTTTCTATTTATTCGTTTGCCTCGCTGTGCCATTCTACTATACCAAGTGAGCTAGCGGTACGTGGCACGTGCAGGTGAGCCGCGCGCACCCTAAAACGCTTTGTTATAAATTCAACGAAAGATGATAAGAGAGACGAGGGAAGAAAATTCGTTTGGTTACTTACTACATAGTCGTCCATGTATTTATTATCTAGAAAGCGGATTCCTCTCGGAGCTGCAACGATAAAAACACAGTTATAGAGTTATTCTATTTAAAAAAAAAAGACAACAACGAAAAGCTGAAGCATGAGACAGTTATCAACTATGATGTTTGAAAGTACAAGTAATTCCGCACGTAAACTATTAATTCTCTTTACGAAACAAGTATTTAATAGATATTGTACAATTTCTATGAAACGGAACTATCATGCTTAGGTACGAGTGAAACAGACCAAACTGAAAACAATACAGAAATCAACTATTATGTACACTGTAACGAATGAAATAAAAGACGTTGGGGGCGAGTAATTGAAAAGAGACTCAGAGACGCTTAGAGATACATGTAGATAAATAGAGAACGTAATAAGAACTGTGTGAAGAAAAGTCACTAAACACAATCATCTGATCGCATACGACGAGTACTATCATTGGATTTATGCCGGGTTTACTCGTAATCATATTGTTACGCGTACGAACGATACGAAATGTGCATGTAAACAGTTGATAGTACACTGAGATGAAAAACATAAGTCACAGTCCGTTTGTTCATAAATCCAACTGGTGAACGTATGTAGCATTTGAAATTAGAACTATTCTGTAACACAAACTCACGATTCTGTGAAATAACGCACGGCAAGAAGTTCGCTACGAAAATTGTAATAACGTAAACACGTTTGAGACGATAAAAATTGGACAAAAGAGCTGATGGTATAGACCGATTGTATTGCAGGGGATCTGCGGCCGTTGATCGTCGATGGCCGCCGCGGAGAGGTTATAAATGGGGCAGTCCAGGAAGAAGAGTTAGAATTCGAACGGAATTTGTTCCCCGGAACGTTATACGGCCGTGAGTAGTTGATAAAACACAATGATCGTCGAGAAACTGATCGCCGTGGCGGGTGGCATGTAAACATTGCGACGGAGTTACTCCGCGGCGACGCTCGAGCGGCGCCGAGGCTCGACCGTGGAGGATCGCCGTAAGACCTCGGATGACTCGACGCGAGGAAGTCGAGGTTCGCGGTCGAGAATAGACGTCTAGAAGAAGATCGGGCGGAGAGTCGAAAATGCTCACGGGTCCATTGGGCTGGTGGTGCTCCTGCTGGCCGACAACATTGACAATACAGATGGCGGCAGGCTCGGCTCGCACACGAATCTCGGCACCCACGTATGAACATCTGAACGTACACCCAGCCGAATTCGAGTAGTCCACATGCACAAACATGAGCGTAAGTAAATATGCACACGCGACGACGACGTGGGTAACACCGATGCGCACAAACGTGAATGTACACGCGCACAACGTCGGTAGGAACGCGCGAGCACAAGTTCGACACGCACACGCAAACATGAACACGCACGCGCGCGCGCGCAATAAAGAGAGCCAGAATGGAAGAGAGAGAAGAAGATAGATATGGTCGTAAGGCAGTAAATGCCTTATTATTGATCTATCGACGGAGAGGGTGATTTCGCGCGCGATGATACACGTGACAAATAATAGCCGGTACGCCTGATCGTGAATGATCGAATTATTTTTCAATCGGTAGCTCCGAGATGGCAGTAGTCCGAGTACGCCTCTGTCACGGCAGCCTAACCAAGATGTCCTCATTAGCAATTCGAGTCGCAGCCACGACCAGCTCGATTTTACTCACTTCGTGGGCCGAGGGCTGCTGTCGAGCTCGCTCGACGCCCTCAAATAGCCTCCGTAAGGACACCCAATGCCTTTCTTCCTCGCGCGGTACACCGAATCGATATTATATTTACATTAATGTGGATACTGCTGTTTGGCGCCATCATGCCTAAAAAAATAACTGTCTGAGCGCGGAGTCACGTGACCCCGCGACACCGACACGGCTAGATCTCGCAATCGCTCTCATCTGTACATCCATACGCCACCGCTACCAGCTGCTCTGGAAACCGGGCACAATGCAACCCTCTACTACTCTTCATCTCATACATACGTTTAATAAACTGTCTTCTCGTCCGATTGAAAATTATATATTACAATTAAAAAAACAGAACAGAAATGTATTTTCATTACCGTATATAATATGTATACATATAAATATACTCTGAGATATTCTTTAACTGTACATAATTTCTACTTCGTTCCTTGTATTCGTTTATAATTCGAGATGAGAACGCGAGATTAAGACTTCTAATACAGATTCCTGTTATTAACGATTAACAGAATCTCAAGGAAACGCACCTTGATTGTACACTCGTGAGACCATGCTTGATTGAACGCAGGGAATGGTAGGAATGGGAATAGGTGGGGAAGTGAGAACTTTGTTGTACAACTGTACGACCACATGACACTGGTGGGAGATTCGGTTTCGGTATACTACTTTTTCAAATAGTTACAAACATTTACAAATTAGACAGACTGGAGGGTGGGTAATGTGTCACGGATACATCGATGCATGCCCTCCTCGACAGTTCTTGTTTATTGTTGATTCCCGCTTCGAACTGCAGGCAGGGTTCTCATAATTTATCCCACACGACTCGCTTCCCCTCTTTTTCGCCCGTATTTCGATCCCCATGCGCCTTTGCTGACCATGCCTAGCATAACCCCATCAAGTACCAGTCCCACCATGGTCGCGTCGTCCCCACTTTCCGGCCGAGCGAAAAATTACGAGATCCCTGGTCCTGAGTCTGCAGGCTGATAGTAAACGATAGAAAATGAGGTTATGTTAAAACACGAATTACTTAAGATTTTACAATGGAACAGGTATGTTGGACAATATTATTATTATATTTATTATTGCTAATGGAAATAGTATTTAATAATGTACAGTATTTCAGGATTTAAAAGCAAAGATTGATCAAGCCTGCCGAACGGCCGAGGAATTGACAAAGGTTTACTACGAAAGTCTGGATAAACGTAGATACGTAAGTATTAATTATTCACAGAATGCGTTCGTTTATATATTGTATTAAATAAACCACGTGAGAAACGCCGGCTTTGTTAAGAATATTAATTGTCATATAAATGGACAAGATAAGATGATAATTTTTGTCGTAGCTCATATCAAGGTTGTATCTGGATACCGCAACTTTAATATGGAATGGAAATGGTATCGAAGGGAAAGATAATATACAGAAATTCTGGACAGATTTACCGCCTTCAGTACACTCCGTTTTTACTTTAGATGCTCAGCCTATAACAGGTAAAGACTCATGGATCATTAACAAAATTTGTTCACAAGTGCTTTATTCTTCGGTAGAAAATTTAGTGTTGATTCCATTGTATGCTCGAAACCGAGTACAATTGGATGAATGAAAGTGTGTCTAAAATACATATTGTTACTAGGACCTGAGGTGGCAGATCAACTAACGTTCCTCGTGAAAGTTGGTGGACAAGTAAAGTACGATGATAAGACTGCGAAACCTTTCAACCAAACGTTCTTAATTGCGGCGATGGGAGATAAGTGGAAGATTGTAAGCGACTGCTTTAGGTTACAAGAAGCGCTGGAGAGTGTAAATTAAAATAAATTACTTTTACGTAAAATATGATCGAACAATTGTTTGATTCAATATTCCTTTTTATTTCTATCGTCGGTCTTATATCAATGTATAAAGCGATATTAAAATTTTCGTATTAGTGAATCAGTACGTTGGTCGATCGTTTAGGAATAACTTTACATGAGAAAAAACTAAAAAATAAATATAGATATAAATACTTAGACATAAACGTTACTATGTTACAGATTGTATAAAACATTGATTTCATATCCTTTGACAGCTCATCAACTTAAACATCCAATGGTTAATAAGATTTTGAGAAATTCGAAATGTACAGCTTTTCAACTGGAACCGCCTACAAAACTATATTCCGTAACACTCCTAAATAAACGTTATAAATATTGCTTAGAATTGATTTCGCTTTGCACGATTCGAGATAATTTAAAAAATAGATTTAAAAATGTACATAATTACGCTAAATGATCTGTTAAAACGACGTACGCGATGCTGTTATGTTGTGATTTCTCGAGGGCGACTATGTATTTACAGATACCATCGAATACTTCGACTTACCGAACTAAAAAGTTCATTAAAATATTCCAGTAAAAAATCTCTACGTTCGGGACTTCTCAAAAAGATTCGTTCATACGATCGCTCATGTTTTTCTTTCCCTCCCATCCTCTCTCTCTCCCTCACTTTCTTGCTCTGCTTTCTTTTTTCTTTTCTTTTAATTCGAAGGTAAAAGATAAGTCGATCGGTGTATCACAGGTACAAATGATGCAAGAAAAAAAAAAGGATATTTGATCATGACCGAAAGGAGAATAATTCCGGTTCGTATAACTACCGTTTGTTGATCGATGTATTCTAGAAGCCATAATGTAGGCAGTGTTACGAGAGGAAACGACTTGACTCACGAATTAACTGACTTTTTCGTTCTCGTTGCATCTTACTTAATTTTAATTAAATGATCGAATGGTAAAATGAAACCTCAGACTCCGGAGACTTTCTACGGAAGACTACTAAAAAAAAAAGACCTTCAATAATTTTTACTACTAAAGGAGATGTCTACATGCTGACGAGTTCAACACTAAATTTAAAAATACGACACAATAATAAACGCAAGCAATATAAGTCGACTGCATTATTTAAGTTTTATACATAAAATCTATTGGTTCGCAATCAATCAATTAAAATACAATTATAGTATAACAGAGAAGTGAAATAAATATTCGTTATCGTTAAAAATAAGTGTCCGGAGTCCTTGCATTTTATTAGCGCTCTGTGGAAGAACGTCTACGTAATTACGCAGATCAAACAAAACGCTTTGAAAATTTGGTTAATTACACCCGCTGATTTACATAAATATATACAGTAAAACCTTGATAATCAATCCGATTAAATATTAAGTCCATTTTTGATTATTAAGATGATCGAACTTCTGATTATTCAAATACTAAGTAGTCATACTTGTATAATAATTATCATTTTAAGCTGATTTTAAGTATTCACTTTTTGGCCAATACATATCTATTTACCTAAAACATATATGTTAGAATAATATACAGTTGGTGTAGAAATTTTCATTGATAAGTAAGAATCAATGGAAAGCATGAATGAAAATAATGAAGGAGAACATTTTCTGTTAGATGAATAAAAAATCGTTTACCAATGTAGGAGTATTTGATTAATTCTCCTAATCAAAGTTTTACTGTATCATTAAGCATACCTGTTATTCGACTTACTCTATACAAATACAAAAATTGTTACATTCTCTCACGCATTAAAATGGCTTACTCGCTTAAAAGTGTTCGTACTTACGTATGTATAGTCTAGCTTATTCTGCGTACGATATTACGAAGCACGGCATAAGAAAGTTCGATGAAATAACACCGAGACATTTTTACTCAACAACTATAATCACCACATTTATCGTATAGCGGACGAGTATAATTCACGTAGAGCTTCGCTTATATAGGATATATGTTTGATCGACGTAATAATAATTATAATTTACAAAACGAAGAACCAAGCGCCCAGTAGAAAAATTATTTCTTTCTGTATTCGAAAGAGAGTTCTCCTTTGTTGCGACGAACCGCGATTACTCGTCCTTCTTCTATCAGTGTCAAAACTATTATTCGAAAGATCGTAAGGAACCAGAGTACATTTGATCCTTGTTCACTTATGCTACTACGTTCATCGTTATTTTCAGAATAAACACATTTCTCTTTCCTTTGCAAAACTCAATTCATAAAAATTACCAGCGAATTACATTTACGTACTATGTATATAGTCTTTTTTTTTTCATATCAAAAGAATAATACTTTTATGATAATGATAGTTGTTTTTAACTCGAATGAAAATGCTAATCGCAGTCTATGTTAAGTAATATATTGATGTGAATCGAAATATGTATATGAGTTTATTATTTGTTTTCCCTCTTTTATACCCAGAAAACTGATATTTAATTGAGGCCGCGGTCGGTTCGAGGCCTTGCCATTAAACATCTTCCGAGTTTGTACACTCTCGTTACGAGTGAGATTTCCAAAAATGCATGTCTCTGTCATTTCCTGCTGAGTCATCGCAACAGAATTTTTGGTAAAAAGATTCGTGATAAAAGAAATGTACTAAAAACCTCTCAAAGAATATGAGATAGAGACCATGAAGTTTCTTAGTAAAAAAAAAAAGGAGACTGGAGAGAAGTAAAATAAATTTGACCTGACGAAAACTTTAAGAGAGATTCCCAAATGCAAGATATCTCTGAATGGGTGACGAGTACCAGTATTAACGAAGTAACGCCGGTTGAAAATGAGAACGAGAAGAAGGGTGACGATAAAATGGTGTTAATATCTGTGATTTATCTTTGCACGGTGTTGACGACATCCTTTATCGTGTTTTGGAGGTCAGTGAGAAGTCTTGTATTCTCTGTGACGTTTCGAGTGCCAGCTGCTCGAAGCTGTCGAGCCTGAAGCTCTAGCCTACCGAGGACTTCGCGAAACTGAAACCGTGCGTGAGGCGCGATACCGCTGTCCGCGAGATTAGCGCACATTCCGTGCAGTAACACTACCTTGTCTGAAAGCTGGAGCCAACTGGCCATTACTATCGTCGAGCTACTTTTCAAATTCAATACGCTGCTCTCTATCACTGTCGAAAGCTCCAACACGGCTTGTTTCGCGGTCTTAGAATCAGTGTTCTGTTTACCTAAATTGTCCTCAGCGTGTTGAGACTTCGTACAGTTAGGCGTTGCGTAGATCGAAGACCCGAAATGCTTGGTCGTAGTGCACAACGGTTTCAATGGTTTCGCAGGGACAACTGGTTTCTCTGGCTCGGGAGGCGGCCACTGTCGAGTATCGCTTTTACTACCGGAACTACGAATTATACATGAAAACGTTTTTAAACATTTATCTATAAAAACTATGACTGATGTAGAGAAATGCAGATTAAAATTCACCTTTGACTTCGAGTGGAAGCTCCACTATGATCTTCAGGCGAATCTTCTGCCTGGTCCACTGTTTCTTGTTTACCAGTGTTTCCTTTGACACTGAGTTTCGGACTGTGCGGTTGGCTGTCACAAGATTCTTTATTCTCCCAAAGCTTCTTCAAGCTACTAATACTACCTGTGCTTCTACGCTTGTCGTCTTGTTGTTCTTCAGATTCCGAAGACTGTTCGGTAACGATACTCTTCTCCTCCGATAGTTTTTCTTTTTCCGCATTCTCAACCTTCCGAAGTCTAGCTTTGAAATCGATTATTTGCCCATCGGATGTCTCCTCCTTCTGCGGATTGTTCCGCTTGTCTACTCTTTTCAATTTGAAACCAACATTTCCGCTGGAGAGAATAGATTCGGTTACCGGAGAAGACATCGACGAATCCTTGTGAACGTTGTGAATCTGATGTTGCTGTTGCTGATCTGGAGGTACTTCAATGGTTCTTAAAGTTGATACAGCGTACTCGTTTTGAGCATATCTGAATTGTGGTGAAAAAATAATGAGTTAGTAACAAGTGACACGGTATGTTAATATAAAATTTACCTCTGTCCGGAATCCATGTTAAAACTAGCGCAAAGTTCTGATAGTAACTGTGAGGCTGGATCCAGAGGAGCGGATGGAGTACTGCTTATCAATCCAACTTTTTTCGTAATCGAGCCATGCTTGGTCTCTGCACCTTGTTTAATTTCATTGATCAGCTTCAGCTCCAACATTTCTTTCATTCCAGGTTTACGTTCGAAACTATCGGAAGATGAATTGGTCGATATCGGCGGCGGCGGCGGCGGAGGAGGTGGCGGCGCTTCTTCCGGTGGCGCAGCCGGCTCAATTGTTTCTATCCTAGATTTGAATCCCGTCTTTTTATTATCGATATTTCTACAGGAATTGTCTTGGACATCTCTGCGTCTCAGATTGACTCCGAACCTCGAACAGGCTTCCTTCACAGACGGTTCCGCGTTACTAACGTCGTTCCTGTCTTCTTGTTGCTCGTTCTCATCTTCCTTCGAACGCCAATCTATGCTCTTCGCTTTTCTTATTGATAAAGGGGAATTTCTTATTTGAGAAATGTCGCTACAAGAAATAGGGGGTGGAAGATCGACTTGTTCTTGTCCAGAAAAATTTTCATCCGGAGGCGGTGGTAAATCGGCAGGCGGAGGAGGGAATTCCAAATCAGCTAACGACGGTTGTACAGATCTCGACGGGCTCGCGGTACGAAAGTTAGAGTTACTTGATACGCGGAAAGTCCTTAAACCGACAGCGTCCGATTGATTGTTCTTCCGTACGGCTACTACTCGGCCGCGCGGAGAATTCGGTGGCTGATAAGTGTTAACAACACCGCTTGAAGAATTGCTGCGAGTCATTTGAGGCTGATTCCGCAAATTGCTTTGCCGCGGAGACAGAGATCTGTGCTGCGAATTATCAATCGAGGATTCGTGCTGATCCAACGCGCCGGATGCCATAGAAGACGAGACCACCGTCGTTGACTCTTGATTCGACGGCATACCGCTTTGACGTAAAGATTCCAAGTACGCGCCGATCCTAGCACCTTTTGGCAATGTACCGTAACGATTGATAGCTCGTTTCACGTTCTGTACTTCCAACGCGCCTACTTGTACCAACTAGAGATTCAATTTAAATGATAGAAGCAGAATTTTAAATTAATGTTCACGCGAGTCTCTCGACGTTTACCTTCTGCGGCAACGGCTCCTTAGATGGATAAGGTCTCGTCTTGATCTGCTTCTGAGATGAGACCAGGCCAGGTATAGGCTCCGGCGATGTTGAAGGTTGAGAAATAAAGTTTGGTTCCGTCGTGCCTTGGGAACCCTCTCCGTCCTCCTCGATCTCACAGCCTCCTGCAGCAATCGTTTCTTGAGCCATCGTCGCGAGATCTCGCGCAATACCTGAGTTCCCATTTAACAACAAACCGTACCGGTACATATTCTCTTTCTGCTTAGAGTCCTTTCGCTGAGAGCGAACAAGTTCCGTAAGCTCAAATGATCAAAATGTAAATGGCATGTTTTGAAAATTAAAGCGTATCATTTCTTCTACTACATTTCGTTCGTTCGTTAGTACAGTACTTCATTAACAGTAAACGCACTTAATGGAAAATAAATCGATAGAAACATAACGAAAATGAATATCTATATAAATTTACGTTCATTACATGTAAAAGGAATGCAAATGCAGAAAGTAATCGAGCATGAAGAGTCGAATGTAGAGCTTACGTTACATAGGAAACTAAAGCAGTGCATGCACGTATCAGTACGCTTGATTAAAGTAGAATGGAAATACCTTCGAGAATCTTATCAATACCATTTAGATCCGCGGCATCGTCGAGAGTCATGGTGTTAGTTTCAGTATTTTGAGTATCCTGCTCTTGGTAGGCAGAATCGCGGAATGAACTGCACGACGACAGCAAGCTGTTACCCAATCGTTTTATTATTATATCACCATATGATTAATCTTTCTCGGTATTCGAAATCTCGATTACGTTCAATAAATAATAAATCGAGACTTCATTACACCGAACGTAAAAAAGACATAATACCTTGTCCTTTTTGGAGGAGCCGGAGCCTGTTTACCCTTTTTATTGGTAGAACGTCTCATCTGTACGATGCTGCTGTTATTCTTAGTTGACAAGCCACCTGTAAATGTACTCAGTTTCGTCACCGAGCTCGTAGTATCTGCAACAATCACAGTGAAGAATCTTAATTACATTTGTATTGTATTAGTAAAAGTATTGGTTTCTCAATTAAAAAAGTTTCATACATGTACCTGAAGAGGGTAACGGTTCAGACACCAGGACTAGCCCATGAATATTTCCAGTACTGCCAGTTTGAGATTTCTTGTAAGAAAGTAACGGAATTTCTCCTCCTCCTTGCAACTGTTTTTCGACTTCTATAAAGATCAATTTAATTCGCATCGTATAAGAACTGTTCTCGTGTAAAGGCCTGCTTATCCTGAACAACTGTTTAAACATTTTACCTTCCGTAATACTCGATTCTTGGAACATATTTTCGAGGGAATGATGGATCTCCTTGAAAGTAGGCCGGTCGGCCGCGGACCATTGCCAACACTGTCGCATCAATTCGTATACTTTCGGTGGACACCCAGGCGGGCATTCCATTCTGTAGCCTTTTTCTAGCATATGGTAGACGTCGGTCAAATCGACGCCAGGATACGGAGACATACCGTAGGTTGCTATTTCCCATAGCAAGATCCCAAATGCCCAAACATCGGACTATAAATATCGAATGAATAACTGCATAAAGATGTGCAACGGTAATAAAGAAAAGGACGAATTATGTTATTCTACCTTTGTCGAGAACTTATTATACGCCAATCCCTCTGGAGCGGTCCATTTTATAGGGAACTTCGCGCCAGCATGAGCTGTGTACGTGTCGTCTCTCATCAGCCGAGCCAACCCGAAGTCTGCGACCTTCACCAGATGGTTTTCACCCACGAGGCAGTTTCGAGCAGCTAGATCTCTGTTTCGAAAGTCGCAATGTTAACGCGAGCTCGTTTCTTCAGAGGATAAGGACAATGAAATTAAAAATATTTGTTCTAACCGACTGAACATTTTTTTCTAGAATATCACACAAACGTCTGTGATCTGCCATTACTTTTCTCCAGCGATCCTTGAGAAAGACAGCTACCTAACTCAAAAATTAATTCTTCTCTTCGATGTGCGTTAAGCAAAAGTGAGCATTACTTGTATGTGTTTTACTTGTATGTTCAGTACGTTAATATTTTATCGTAGTAATCACGGTAGGTGAGAAATTTATGCTAACGACGGGGCTGTAAAGGTACTGAAAAAAATGATACCTGTGTATGAAATTCCTGCTTTCCAAGTAACTCATTCCGCTGGCGATTTGAGTGGCCATGTGCATCAAAACAACGGCATTAATTTGATGTTTACTTTCGTTCCGTAAATAATCCAGCAGATTCCCCTTGCTCATGAACTCCGTGATGATGTAGAACGGCGGCTCCCGCGTACATACACCTAGTAACTGAACCAGATTCCTGTGCTTCATCTCCTTCATAATCGCAGCTTCTTCCAAAAAGTCTTTTAGGGCCATCGTATCCTCCTGTGAAACACAATATGTACACGTTTCCGTTATGTTTCCATAGCAATGATAACGATATCGATAAATAGTACTCTCAGAAACGGACCTTCAACGTCTTTACGGCAACAGTCATATTGTACCTCTTCCACACAGCTTCGTAGACGTCTCCGTATTGGCCTCCACCTAATTTGTGTCTCATAACTATATCTGTCCTATTGATTTCCCATTCGTCCGGTTCTAGCACAGCAATTTCAATAAACTTCAATCGTTTGTAAATTATATGTTAGCTTTCTGATTAAATTTTGATTATTTTTACGTACCAGGGCTAAGCGGAAAAACCGTAGGTTTATTGTGCTTTGGTGCAGGATAAAGTAATTGTGTAATTAGACCATCGGCAAGCATCGAGTGATGGTGTACTAATTCTGCCAGAGTATTAAATTTGCTATCAGTGGTGACGAACATCTGAAATGTAAATGTTTCGTAGTTAAAGTACATGAATTCTATCGTCGGCGTTAGTTACACGATGTAACTTATTCTACCTTTCCCTCGCTGTCTTCGTTAATCCTATAATGATAAACTCTACCCTCGTATCTGAGGGAAATGCTGCGCTGACCTGGGCTGCTTTCCGATTCACGGACCAGAAAACTGCCGTTTATCCCAGAACTTAGAAGATACTCCGCGGCATTCCTGGATATCCTTCCGTGATACCAGGAATGTTTCTCCAGAGAGTTTACTGGAGTCACATAATTGGAAGGAACCCATCCTACTTGACCAGTACTTGAATGAGCTTCGCACCATTCCCCGCTTTTATTATAACTTAGAATACGAACTTGCTCTCCTATGTTCAAAATTACGTTATATTATAATACACGCAGTTTTACATTTACACAGTCTTTGTTAAAATTGATCACCTTTCTTAAGGCTGAGCTGATTCTCTCCACCTGCTTGAAAATCATACAGAGCAACGAATAGCTGAGGATCATCTTCTTCTTGTGCCAACAAATTTTCCTTGCTGGTCCACCTGCACCATTTATTTAAATAACAAACTGAACATATGAAATTCACAGAAGTTTTCAAATTTACATAATCTGTGATCACCGGAATTAACCGATCGTATAATTGAATTATAATTGAACCTGTTTGCAGCTTCCAAGAGTCCGGCAGAAGAAACACCAGTGTGCTGTTGTATGTTCACTTGCTGTGAAATCGGTTGGATGCCAGACCCATTCGGAGGGTCACCATCTGGTAATGCCGGAATGTGAGGTAGCGGTCTGCTTTGTAAAAGAGCTTCTGTGCAATATCACAATATCATTGTAAGGACACGAACATGGAACGATGCATGAAACTTAATCCATAAAATTCAAGATTTTTATAAGTGATGATATAATGTACATAATTACATGATCTCTACTGTAAACACCTTATATCAGGAATTATAAAAATAAATATACAGTAACAATAACTTCTGATAACGTTTGATTTGCAGCCAAGTATGAAATTGTAAGAAGAAATTTGCAGTGTCAATTAATTGAAAAACTCATTCTTTTTATTATCTGTGTCAGCCTACTTATGAAAGGTTACCAGTCAACTATTAGCATTAAATATGTTTAAAATCTAGATACATATACGTGCATGCATTAATTATATAATCTAAACTACAGTCTTCAGCTTGATGGCCTGTTAATGGGCTATTATTCGAATGTATCATCCTTTTATGCATATATATATACGTATATGTATATATATATATAAAGCTGTGGATAATTTTTCTATTGAAGATTATTTAAAAAGTAAGTAAAATGCAGGATCGCGAGGAATTAATCGGAAGGAGGGGAGGAAAGTGCGAGGAAGAGATGTGAAAAAAGGGGCGGAAGTAAGAAAGAAATAGAAAATAAAAAGGCCGAGAGAGTCGGGAAATCTGTGAAAGAATTACCGCTGTGCTCTGTGAATATGTTGGAGCCAACTAGACGGGACTCCTTGAGGTTCCTCGGCTGTTTACGCGTTTGTCGCACAGCAGAACCAGTAGGAACAATTCTCTCCTTAGTCTGTTGAGCACCCATAGTTCCCGAATTGGCATGCCCTTAGATTAATCCCGGCCGCGAAATTGCCGGGGCCGTTCACTCGGCACATTCACTATCGGCCTGACAGTCTAACTACCGATCGCATCTCTCGCCGGCCTCCGCCGATGACGAGCAACACCCGAGACCCACGAATCTCACCCTCAACGCGAACCTCCTATTCACATTTTTGACCAACACTCAGGATCGACGTTCTCGCCATGTTTGACAGCTTCGACGTCGACGTCGACGATAGCTCGATTCGCACCGTACTGTTTACTACTTTTACTTATCATCAGAGCCATTTCGGTGTTCTCATTGGAGAATCATGCCTCGGATAAAGATTCCATTGGCCAGTAGCTTTGTGCACCGATAAACATCCACCGAACTCGAATACGTTCGTAGTTAATTATTTCCTATTTTCATTCATTTAAACGCAAATAATCACTTTTATTAAAACAGCTAATGGGTATTCAATTATAATTTACAATTGCCATTACAAATATACAATAGATACGAAC